TCCACGGGGAAAACTCCTGCTTGTATCGCTGCTGCCTTGGGGAACCCGCACGATTTTTCCAGAGCTTCCACCTTTCTGTGGAGAATGAGCTGGGGAGTGGGGGGCAGGGGAGGGAGGAGGTTGAATAATTGAACCATGTGCTCGCTGGGACGTCCCTCCGATAGCAGGAACTAGCAACTTTTCCCAGTCTCAAGGCTGCTAAAAACCCCCTCGTGTCCCTTTGATCTCTCCTGGGAGTCCCAGAGTGCCAGCAGAGGCCAATGCCTTCTTCAGCTGTCTTTATACAAATCCCTCTGGCAGGTACTAATGTGTTTACTTAGGTGCGCACGGTTCCCAGCGCTGGGGGGAACCAAACGTTTCTCACACGGCTGGAAGCGCCCGGCCACAACAGCCCAACTGGGAAACAGTTTTGCTGGCGGGGCGGTGCAGGGGAGCCCTCGCCGCCGGCACCCGCACACACCGGCCGCGGGAGGGGAGAGGCGGGGGGCGAAGGCGGCACGGAGCGACGCGGCTGCTGCTCCCCTTGTGTCGGGCGTCGCCGTCCCCGCACGCACCATTAAATAAAATACACCCCTAAATAACGCTCTCGCTGCCGGTCGCTGTCCCGCACCGGGGCCCGGGCGTTCACCCCGGCGAGGCCGGCGGTCTGCGGGGGCACGGCGCAGTGCTTTGAAGAGGTGCGGGGTGCTCGCTCCCCCCCCCCCCCCCTCCCCGCCCCCTTATGGTTTCGGTGGGTTTTCTTTGTTTAAATAGAAAGGCATGGGGCTTGGAAAAAGATTGCGCGCTCCGCAAGCGGTCCCCACATGGGATTGAATCCCTCCAGAAATAGGTGCGGCACGGCAATTGCTGCGGAGCGGAGAGGGTTGGGGTGAGGAACACCATTTAAAGAGGTCCTGACACGTTCACCATTTTCTCCCTGCCCGTCCAAAACAGCAGACAGTGCCTGGTGCTCAGGCTGTTCCCGCTTTCCGGACTTGAGCCTCCCGTCTCCTGAAATGCAGCACTATCCGCGCCCCCCCGCGCCCCGTCCTCCCCAGCAGCCTCATTAGCCAACCTTGTAGTTTGTGTTTTCTCTCCCCTTTCTTTAGTTCCACTCGCCTACTGCACTTTTGCAAATTTGTTTTGAGATCACTTTACCAGAGGAGCCGGGGGCTCTTAAGGGATACTAATTACAGATTTTTTTCTTCCTGAGCGACCGGCTCTTCCATCCTTTCTTCCCCTTCCCCCAAAATATTCAAGGAAAAAGGAAACAAATTCTCCTAGCTCCTCAAATACTTTTGGGAAAAGACATGTTTCTTAACAACCCCAGCCCCGCTGGATTGGGAGTTAAAGCTGCGAGCTAAAGCTCTGCACG